TGAATTTGCCAACCTTAACCAGAAGGTCTTCCACTATGCCCCTAGGATGCACTACAGATCGGTCAGCTAATTGAGGGTCATCCTAGTAGCATGGGGTTCACCTAGGCCTAGTTTCTTGAACAATTTATATGGCATAACATTGATACTAGCACCTAAATCCGCCAAGGACCTCTCTACATGCAATTTATCAATAGAGCACGGGATAGTAAAACTACCTGGGTCCTTCTTCTTCTGCGGGAGCTTGTTCTGCAGAATAGCCGAGCACTCCTCGCTGAGCTCCACAGTGGCCAGCTCACTCAGCTTCTGCTTCTTCGAGAGAAGCTCTTTCAGAAACTTCGCATACTTAAGCATTTGTGATAGTGCCTCCAGGAAGGGCACTTGGACATTCAGCTTCTTAAGCATGGCCATGAAGTTTTCGAACTCTGCCTCCAGCCTGTCTCTGTGCAACCGAGTAGGGAAGGGAAGTTTCGGGATATACTCCTTCACTACCGGTTGCGGATTAGGTGCAGGCACCTCAACCTCCTTCTCTGCCTCTTCTTCAACCGCTGGAGATGCTAAGACAGGGGTCTCTCTCTCTAGTTCCCGAGCAGGTGGATTAACAGTCACCTTGCCACTCCTGGTCATGATGGCATTGTAGTGCTCATTCGGGGCAAGCGGATGAGGGATGGTCTGCCCGGGTAGAGTACCAGGAGCCCTTTGAGCCACTGCCTGAGCCACGCTCCCCAGCTGGGTCTGGATATCCTGCAAGACAGCCTGTGTGTTCCTCTGACCAGCTTCAAGAGCCAAGAATTTCATGTGCATACTAGCTTCTGATGTAGTGTGAGATATCCACAGGTGTGGAAAGTTGATGATGATGTGTATATTTGTGTAATTATGTAAGTTGTGACGATTATGGCATGTATCAGTATAGGATGCAGTGGTGTAACATGAAACTGTGACTATGGCTATGAAAAGCCAATGCATATGGCAGTGAGTGTATATGTTTGTCTATGAATGCATGGATTTAGATGAATTATTTTGCAGGATCAGATGGAAGAACTGTTAGCCCATTACGCGAGTAATTCATGTCGAAATTTTATTTGGGTAAATTTTGATAATTAGTGTAACACCCGAGATTAATTCCGCTGCAATTGTATGAACAATATGATTAGGCAAAACGTATAGGGTAGGGTGTTACAGTTTGGTATCAGAGCTGGTTTGTTTTCTGCATTATGGGTATGTTACTTTCACTCTTGAGGACTGATCACCCTCGTAAGGGGAGGGAGTACTCCATACCTGTACTTGCACTAAACTTGCCAGGAATTGGGACCAAAGGTGATGATGTGTTGCATAGTCAGTTGCATATGGTCAAACATGATTTTGAGTATTTGGAAGAATCTTGAAAAAGTTATGGTTTAAAAGGGTTTGAAAATTTTATGAAGTTTTTATCTTGTTGTCCAAGTAATGATTTTGGCAGAATTTTTTTAATGGTGTGTGGATCAAGTTATGGCCAATATTTCCTTGTAGCTCGCACAAAAGTTGTCCTAGAAATCCTACTAACCGATCGAGAAGCATGGCGACTAGCTATGTAATGCACTTGAATTTAGACTATGTTAACATGAAGAGTTGTGGTGGTAGAGATTTTAATAGAGACATGATTCTTGATGCAGTGGTGACAACCATTTTGTAGGTTGATATAACCTTGTGTTAGTGGCAACCTACCTTGCAGGTTAATAACTTGGTTTAGTGAATTATGTTTTGAACTTGTTGATGTGCTTTTGTTGTGATAGCCCAGTATAGGTTTTTGAAACCTAAACATGGGAACTTGAGGTGTTATGTGTTTAGTTATGTACTTTAGATCGCCTAACCTAAGAGTTAGACTATGGTTTATCTACGATAGACCATGTCAAGGGTAAGTAAGCGGACTAAGGGTACAACTCAAAGTTAGATTTCGGGGACGAAATCTTTTAAGGAGGGGAGAATTGTAACATCCCGTTCCAGCAAAATCCATATTTCGGTTGTTAGAAATTTCACGATTTAAAATCGAGTGTTTTGATAGTATTTTGACGAATATCGGAATATCGTTCGATCGGGTAAATATCAATTACTATATATAAATAATATATATATATATATATATAATAATTAATTATATATACATATATATATATCAATTAGTATTACACGTATATGTTTATGTGTCACAATGAGAGGGTTTGGCCGAAAGCAAAGGAGGGCAGCTACCTCTACACCTTTTTCATTCATTAAACCCCTCGTCCCCATTCTTCCTCAATTACGAACCGAGAGAAACAGAATAACAGAGCGCGCAGGGGAGAGTTCGACAGGAACGACAGAGGTCGATTCTCGATCATAGGTAATCCAATAATTTTATAATCTTCTTGTAATCCTTCCGTATCTCATAGCTGATTAATCCAGAAGCTTATAGTGAAGTTTTGGTATGAAAATTTCTCGAGTTTTCGATCGAAGGAATTAGGGTTTCGGAATATCCGGAAGCCGGATTGAGCCCAAATTTCATATACGAGCTTCCTGCATCGAGGTAATCAATCCTCTAGTTTTAATCCATGAATTTCGGCTATTATTTAGGCCGGGGTCCAAACCGCTGAATTTAGCTCCGGCCAGGGTTTGATGTGTTTTTATCAAGAATTTGACCTAGAGCCTAGAACTAACATTGACGGGGATACTGCAGGGGATATTAGGACAATCTCGGATTTTAATTCCGAGTTTGTTTGAGAAAAGTGAAGTTTAGGTCGGGAGGCTACAACCGATGTTTGAACGACCAGAACTAGTGAGGGATTAGCATGGCATACCGGGTTTGTCGTATCACTATAATTATATTGATGCTTAGAATGGACCTAGGTGAACTCACTACAGGAAAACTCGTCTATAGATACAAAGAAAATGTGTCTCTATATAGTAGTTAATTGTCTCTGCATTATTGTAGATACAAATTATTCATTTGTCTCCTGTAGCGCTGTCACTATAGCCATATGGAAGCAGATATGGAGACAAATATTAATTGTTACTGATTAGAGGTATTGCAACTAATATTTCAGTCTTTAATATGTCTTTTTGGCACTATTTTATTTGCCTCGATTTCTAGTTTTCAAGGCACAAATATTAGTCTCTAAAATGATATTTAGAGACAAATATTTTGGTTTCTGAAATTACTTATTGAGACGATTATACTTGTCTTCAAATATAAATTTGAAGACGTTTTTATCTGTCTCTGATGTTCATTTTAGAGACATATCATTTTGCCTCGAAATTAAGTTTTTTGAGACAGATATATAAGCATCTAAATACTCTTTAGGAGACTTATGTTTATGTCTATAATATTGTTTATAGTTGCAAATATTTTTGTTTTCGAAATGGATCTTGTACAACAATTATATATGTCGCTCAAACCATTTTCTAGACCATTTGTTTTGTTGCAAATGAATATATATGTAGAGGGGAATAATTGGTTAATTTTTATTGTCAATTGGATTTTCAACCCATGAAATCAAATTAAACGAAGATTGATAAAACCATAATAAAAGACAAATATAGAAAATACTAAAAAATACTATTAAATCCATAACATCAAAATGTGCAAATTGTGTGCTGACCTCAATACGTTCAAACAAAGTAAAATAATGGATCAATTCCAATATAAAAAAACTAACACTCAAAACAAGATGGTCTTATTAGAACTAATATCCAAGCAAACATCTTCATAATGATCGAGCAGCTTCAAAATGATTGAGTATCCGTCACTGTGATCTGTTACACAAAAAAAAAAAAATTAACCATCTATTTTTCATAAAAATGTCAAACCAAATGTATAACCAATTATATCTAACTTACCAAAGATGATGGCCAAGCGATACTCCTTCCAACCACATCCCCAAGTGTATGAAAACTTCCATATGGTCGTACTAAAGGCTCGTCGCTCTTAAAGGCGACGTGAACAAATACTTCATAAAATCCACGACCCAATTCTTGGCCAGCTACACAACCCTTTGGATCCTTAATTACGATATTAGCATAAGCCACATTAACTTCAGGACTTAGCAAGCTCTTCAATATTGCAAATTCTAATCCCTGAATTTCAAAATGTTAAGATATTAACTCCAGTCAAAACAACTTCTATAACCTTGTAACAAACATCATTGATATCCAATTTTCTTACTTGAGATATATGATCAGTCGTCGTAGTCGAAGAAATTTGTTCAGACCTTTGCACTCTAACAAGAGAAGATGAGTCCTTGTTGACCTATTATATCAATGATGAAAAAGTATATTAAGAAATATTATCTTTCTTCATCGAATATAGGCATTTAGTGCTATATATAGATATGTAAACTAGCTATAATTCACCTGTTGTTGGCTAGAGGAACCACCATCATGCGATGAATCCAGCATATAATCCAAAAATGAAAATGTCTTGTTTGGTACCTGCATAATATATTAGAGAAGATAAAATAACTTACATTACAAAGAAAACAAACCCCACAAGTAATTAAAGCTAAAGCAAACACCCAACAACGTAAAGGTTAAAGGAATCTACCTCCTTTAACATCCACAAAAACTAGTAATGAAAAAAAAAAGGATTACAAAAAATCATACCCTTTGGGAAGTGTTTTTTATAACAGAAGAATTCACTTCAGATGATAAGCCATTGTAATGAGGCAGATAAGTTTGAAGAATTTGATTTGGTGTAACCTGATTTGGTCAATAAAATATACATGATAACCAGTTAGAAATGATAGAGTAATGATTGTTCATTTGAAAACTAAATTCAAACTTACCTCATTTAATTGACTATTAGTTCTACGTGGAGTTATATCTTGCAACATAGGAAGCAGTGGACTCCTCCCTAAGTTTACCTCTTCTCCCTCAAATCCAGTCGGACTCATTTCATCTCCATTACCTTCTGACTCGATGACTACATGGTCCTACAACTCAAACCCATACAATTATGTTGATGAAAAAAATGTAATCCATAATGTTTCAAATTACTAAATTAAAAAAAAAAGACGTACCTGTGTTGTTGAGTCTAACAATTCATCAATGCTCACATTTGGATGAAGTTTATGCAGCAAGGTCATGATTTTTCCTTGTCCCGCTCTCACCTCCTGCAGCTCTCCTTTCATCTTTTCCGCATTCTCTTCTGCATTTCTTTTAGCCTCTAATGCTTTCTTTAATATTGACACACGAGAATTCTTCACGCCCCAACCTGAACCTAATCCAAATGTTCTCGAGTGATGATATTTGTCCTCTCCTAGTGCTTGTGATAGTATGTCATGCGGTCCAGGACTATCATGATGAGAAGGCTCTATTTGAGTTTTCTTTTCGTTGATCCTTTCCTGGATGGAAAAGGTGAAGTTTGGAAGGGATTTTATGCAAAATTACAATGATGCTTGAACTATCTATAGTAACCATATGAATTAAGTAATTTAATACTTACAATAACCTTTGCAACTTTGTCATTCAATGGAGTCCCATTCGGGCGCACATGAGCAGCAACATAAACCTCGGCTCTAGTCGGCTCAGACTTGTCCGGCCTAGATTCCGCCTACAATGTTAAGAAAAAATAAATTAACAATCGATAATGTATTATCATTTATACGTATAAATTTATCATACTACCATCTCGTCTCTCTTGCAAGCATAGCTTTTGGAACCCAAGGTGTGTGCTGATAGCACTCTGCCCCTATTTTCCTTGCCCACCACTTCCTTTTTCTATAACAGTAAACAATTGCATATTGGTTATAGCATGAAAGTAAGCTAAATAGAAATGACAAGATGAACTAATATTGTATGGTAGTCATACCAAAGCTTTGTCTGTGCTCCAATATCGTAATAGCCATGCCCAATCATCATCAGATACCCTTTCGTCCCGCTCTTTACATTGAAACCAATCCCTTTTCACAGAAGACTTAAAATTCCTCCACTTGCTACTTAAGGAACTCGATATCCAAGGTTCAACGAATGGGTCAATGTCAAATTTTTCCTACATATAAATTAAACTGCAAATGAGGATGAAGAGACTTATAAAATTAAAGATATTTGTTGTATAAGTTACATACCTGTACCAAATCCCACATTTCAGTTTTGTAATAGTTTGGCATTTTCCTCCAATCCTCGTACCTAAGAGGAGCATAAGCTCCATTCCTCGCTAAAGTACCCAAAAAAGTGGTCAACTTTTTAACATTTTTACCAACGGGTTGTCCCTGAGTATTGACCCTGATATGAAATTTTTCACCCCTCGACAAAGCCCAAATATCTTTGCACTTAGTAGGACCTCTTTTTCGTTTCATATGTGATGAAGCTGCAACACACGTTATAATCGTGAATGGAATAGGTGTAACCTCCATGCTTAAGAGTCTACACACTGAACACAATCAAAATTCCCAAAAAAAATCCTAACGGGAAAGAGGCCAACAGTACAAAGAAGCTAACTAAGATATATATATAACTGCCTATATATCTAAAGAGACCAAATAATCACTACGTGTAAGCTTACCTTGAACTATGCTTTCATGATTCTGATTTGAATGGGGAACCAAATTCTGAGCAGATTGGGATCTTGCACGCACCATTACCTGCTATTATAATATGATCAGAATCAGAAACCAGTTATAGATTTTGATGAAAAAGACGATACCTATTTTTGCCGCCGCTACGGAATCACCTTCGATAAAACTCTTGCTTGGAAGTCGGAACCCTATTCTGATTAAAATAGAAGGAATCGATTATGGAGGGCTGCGCTAGGATTTATTTAGGTTTACTAAAAATTTTACCGCTCACTTTTGCCGCTCTCTTTCTATTTTGTTTTTTCGATGGCAGCCGGGTAGCCGCTCAATTTTTTAGATATTAAATTTAACTATACAAAATGTTGGACCCATTGTATGTCGCGCAATTTTTTTGAAAAATTTTAGTACCCGTTTGTAGTGTTGGGTAGGATGATAATTGGTTTGGTAAGTTATAACAAAGTATTGAAATATTATATTGATAGTTATACCGGAAAAGTCAGAGTTAAGGTATTTTATGCTAAAATCGTGATTTAACCATGGTTCAACCGTTTCATACCACTAAATATCGCCTATCGGTTTATCCGCCGGTAGGAGATTTTTCTAGTTGAACCGCCGGTACGGTACGGTATTAAAGTACACCAATTACTCAACTTTCTACTATGCTCCTTCTAAAACTCTTCTTTGAAATTATTCTCATTGAACCTTAGTCACTATTACAATTAAAGTAGGAAAGAGATCTTAAATAATTTACTTTCGTATTTACTTCAGTCCTACACCGATCAACACACATAGGTTTACCAAGTTGTATTTTGTTTCTAAATGGTTCTCGGTTAATCATTAAATACTTTGTACTTATTATCGTTGCCTATATAGTTTATATTAGTTGTTTAAGCGTAACCGTATATTTGACAATTGATTCGACAAGGTTATACCAAATTAACAGAACGGTCAATCCATAATCAACTGAAAGGCATAATTCAAAACATCCCAAATTCATACTTGCTGGGAACCTTAATTTTCATATTGCAGCTAAACTAAAAATCAAAAAAAAAAATGAAAAGATAAAATCCTCTTCCTATTACTGAACCCACGTCCCTAACAAAAATGGGGAGAACTTCCCTTATATATGCCACTAAATAGTCTATCCACAACACTGTTATTAGAGTTGCAAACTTCAATTTTATATGCTGGTTTTGAGTTCATAGCTAACCCATCTGGAATCATCTCTGCACATGTTGACAGTGATCCTACATATATACATGAGAAAGGAACTGGCAAGACTGAAAAAGTGAAACTTTATTACTAATAATGCAAAAACTTTACAACGCATTAGAAGGTTTCATTACACAGCAAATGGTAGGCAGTAGCTGGTGGGGGCAACAAAAGAAATAACAAGGAAGCACAAGAAGAAAAATGGGAAACGGGGAAAAGAAAAACAGTGCTCAGGAGCCATGTCTTGCAACTGCAAAAATAAGGGAATAAACTATCCACATGCTGCAGTAAAACAATTCGAATCTTCAACTGCAAACCAAATTTGCAATAACATCCATCTATACACTGTTCTCTTCTTCGTTGTCTTCCTCCTGTTCTGCATCTGAAATACCCCCCCCCCATTCAGGTACAAATATCTCAGCTGGAGCATCAACCAATTCCTCGTTTCTATCAGTCCTAGTCCAATCAACATGATCATCATTTGGAATGTCCCTAGAAACCACATCACCATCAGTCGGCACAAAAGTATCAGCATCAACGACATCCTTTTCACCCATATCATATAGATCTCTAGGTATGGTTTTGATAACAACTTGCCAATCTGTGTCAATGGGATCTCTTACGTAAAACACTTGCTGGGCTTGGGAAGCCATAATGAATGGCTCCTTATCACTCAACCGCTGTGAAAAATTAACTAATGTGAAACCCAAATCATCACGCTTCAGACCTCTACCATTTGATACCCAATCACATTTGAAAAGTACCACTTTATTACCATAATTGTAATCCAATTCCAGCATCTCATCAATAACCCCATAATAGCTTATCTCGCTATAGATTGGATTTCTGTCTCGGGCACTAGCAAAACTTTGAGTGTTTGCTATTATCATCACACCGCTGTTCTGTGTCTTCCTTTTTTGCTCCATCGTGCTGGTATGAAACCTTAAACCATTGACGATAAACCCCTGAAACTTTTTTGCCACATTGTTTGGTAACCGAGCCAAACGTTTCAGTATCTTTAACTTTTGTTGAGATATGTTTAGGCTTCCTTCATATATCTGTATGTTAGTAGTTGAGTTAAAACTATAAGATCATATTTTATGCATTAATGACCTATGGTAGATATAGAATTGGTTGTAGAAACATACCTGATGAGAAAACCAAGGTTGAAAAGTGGAATTGTGCAGTACTTGAATAGCATGAGGTGATTTGCGTGGATATTGACTTTTTAACAAAGCCAGGTGTTGCCTATCCAACATTAAAACAATCAAACAAAGTTTACTACCTAAAGTACAGGTAGATAAGCAAAATGATAGGTGAGTCTTACTCGATGAAAGGATCTACGTCGCTGCAATTAGAAAGCACATAGTGATGTGCCTTGGCCAAGGTGTCAATATTGAGAGAGACAACTTCCTCATGTCCAAATGATCGACCTATCCTTGGAAAGATAGTCGATACTTCTTCGTCTTGTGTTTCATTCTCAGGGGTAAAGCTATCATCATTTCTAGAAGGACGATTATATCGTGTCTCGACTCCATGTAAGTATCTTGAGCAAAATGTTAAACACTCTACAGCAAGATAGCCATTTGCAATAGAACCTTCTGGATGAGCTTTATTACCAACATATGACTTTAATGTAGATAAGAACCTACATGAATTTATTCACACCAAACAAAATAAATATGAACACATATTACTTTCTGTAACAAAATCAATAAGAATAATCGCTAAAAATAAAACATACCGCTCAATTGGATACATCCATCGTGCTTGTACTGGTCCACCTAACTTTGCCTCACTCACCAAATGTACAGTCAAGTGAATCATAATGTCAAAAAATGACGGAGGAAAGATCCTTTCTAAGTGACACAGTGTTACAGCAATTTCATCATCTAATTTATTCAAATTCTCTACACGGCCAACCTTTGAACATAATTCCTTAAAGAATGAGCATAACTGTATCACAGGCTTGCTAATTGCTCTAGGCAGTAGTCTTCTTATTGCCAAAGGAAGAAGTTGTTGCATCAGAATATGACTATCATGACTCTTCAGACCTAAGATGCTCTTATTCTTCAAGTTCACACATCTAGATATGTTAGCAGCATAACCATCAGGAACTTTAACACTCTTTAATACTTTGCAGAAGGTCTTCTTTTCTTTAGTGTTGAGTGAGAAAGCTGCAATAGGTATCTTTAGCTTACCAGAAACATGTCTTTTGGGGTGTAATCCATGCCTTATCTTCATTAGTGCCATGTCCAAACGAGATTTGACACTATCCTTTGACTTCCCACTCACATTCAATATTGTCCAAAGAATGTTGTCACAAACATTCTTTTCAATATGCATTACATCCAAGTTATGTCTCAACACGTTGTCCTTCCAATATGGTAGGTTAAAGAATATACTGCATTTCTTCCAGCCATGGGGTAAGGGATCACTATTACTGAGCTTTCCAAACTTAACTTGTTTACCTTGTAGCTCAAGTAAGACCTCTGATCCAGACATAGGTCGCGGGGCAAGCCTAAACTCTTGATTATTGTCAAAGGCTTTCTTATGTCTTCGAAACTCATGCCCAACCTGCAAAAATCTTCGGTGGCCCAAGTAACAGAACTTATGACAATGCTTCAACCATTGTGAGTGAGTGTACTTATGACAAGAAGGACATGCCAAATGGCCCTTGGTGCTCCAACCTGATAACATTGCATAACCTGGGAAATCACTGATGGTCCACAACAATGATGCTTTCATCCTAAAATTTTGCTTCAATGATGCATCATAAGTTTCTATACCCTCATTCCACAAATTTTGTAGCTCTTCTATCAAAGGCTGCAAATATATATCAATGTCATTTCCTGGAGATGAAGGTCCAGGAATGAGTAATGATAGAAACATGTATGGTTGCTTCATGTATAACCAAGGGGGCAAGTTATAAGGTACTAATACAACTGGCCATGTGCTGTGTGAATTATTCATTGACCTGAAAGGATTAAAACCATCAGCAGCTAAACCCAATCTAACATTGCGAGGATCAGAAGCAAATTCCTTATGTAGAAAGTCAAAAGTTTTCCATGCAGGGGAATCCGCCGGATGCCTTAAATTTCCATCATTTGTACGACCTTCTTTGTGCCAACGCATAAAAGAAGCGCTTTCTGAGGACATAAACAACCTCTGTAGTCTCTTTCCTATAGGAAAGTACCAAAGTTTCTTATAAGGAATGTTTTTTGTTTTCTTCTTTGAGGATCCGACATCATCACTCTGTTTGTTTTTCCATCTATCATCTCCACAAAAAAGACATTTCGACTCCTTTTCATGCTCCTTCCAAAACAACATGCAATCATTACGGCAAACCTCGATAACTTCATAGCTCAGGCCTAAATCTGATATGAGCT